GGACGTATATATATATATATATATATATATATATATATATATATATATATATATATATATATATATATATATATATATATATATATATATATATATATATATATATATATATATATATATATATATATATATATATATATATATACACGTGTGTGTGTGTATATACATATACATATATGTATATGTATATGTATGTGTATGTATATGTATAAGTGTATATGTATATCAATGTATATAGATATACATATATCATATATGTATATATAGAGAGAGAAATATGGGTATGCTTGGTACTAAGCACAAATTTTGTACTTGGTAGTGATGTGTCACATCCCCATCCACTCACTACTCATGTGAATTTGTTCCCACATTTGAATGAGTGGAGGGGGATTTGACACCTCACTACCAAGCATAACTTTTTGTGTTTGGTACCAAGCATACCCATATTTCTCATATATATACTACTATAAAAGAGGATTGCTATGTTAAAACTTTTGATTTCCTTTTATACCCTCTCAATTTTAATAATTCACAAAACTATAAATATTAAAGTTTGTGTGGTTCTAATGACTATTAGGTTCCCTTGAAATTATGTTTTTGGTTAAGCACTAATTATCATGTTAGTTATCTCGTGAGGACTTTTGGGTTCCTGTGAAATTGTATTTTTGGTTAAGCAGTTATTCTTAATTTTGTTTTACATAACTACTATCCAGCTCGAAAATATAGTTATTATTTTTGGTTAAGCAGTTATTCTTAATTTTGTTTTACATAACTACTATCCAGCTCGAAAATATAGTTATGCATATGCAATAATATGATGAAGGATAATGTGTTTTACATAACTACTATCCAGCTCGAAAATATAGTTATGCATATGCAATAATATGATGAAGGATAATGTTTCAGAGCAACTAACCAAGATTATATTATGTAACGGCCTCTTTATGCATGTAGAAAGACACAATTTTCATCTTGACTAAGTTAAATATGAGATATAGTTGACCAATAATTTCTTCATGTTCTTTATTTAGAAGCATGGAGAACTAACTTGTAGTTATACCATAGAACTATGCCTAATGCTGTACAAATTATGTGCAGTCTGCTAATATAATAGCTAACTATTTTGATTTGGAATCCCATGAAAGGAGAGAATGAGCACTAAAGAGTAACTTATAGAAAAAACATAGGAGGATGGATAATCAAATTATTTGCAGAGATGAAGAGTCAATAGTAAAGTTTAATTACAAGATATTGAGGGTTAAATAAAAAATGATGTGTACTCAATTTAACAATATAAGAAATTAGATAACGTTAAAATATCCTTAAATTTATAATCTAAAGTTAACCACTACATAAAAAACTGTCGAGTCTGAACCATAAGGATACTTTTTAGTCGTCATTTTCTTCATAAGAAACTTATTTTGATACTATATTAGAGTGTATCCCTAAAGTTTTTGTTGTTTTGATAACTAGCTAAAACTTATTTTTTAAATTATAAATTTATAACATTAAAAACTAATTTAATGACATATGTTAATCTATAATTGTATCATGCATCACGTGCAACGCACGTATGACATACTAGTATATGTAATGCAACGCACGTATGACATACTAGTATATACATATACAAATACATATACATACACATACACATACACACACACACACACACACACACATACACACACACACACACATACATATACATATTCTTCTTGGATTAAGCATAATTAAGCATAATTCCAGAACCAATTATGAAGTTATATTCTTCATGGATTGAATCTCATCCAGTTATATCAAAGATGAATGATAACCAAATTATAGATGGTTTATGCTCTATTTATTTTCTTACAGAAGCAGAAATACCATAGATATGGACATGGTCTTTAGAAACAGACTGGACTAACTCACATCTGTCAATCTTAAAAAGAAAGTTTTATTGCAGATGGTGGACTAGTATTCTTATAGAAGAAAAGGTGAAACAAATTGAAGAGATAATTAGACAAAATAATATTCTTCTTGAAAATAATATGCATCAAGAAATTCAGAAAGATAATCCCATGCTTAAAATAGCCAAGATGATCCGAAGGAAATATCCACAAGCTACTGATGCAGAAGTTCAACAGAAATGTTTAGAACATTTGAAAAAGTAATTTCTTGAAGCATTTGAAACAAATGATACCAAAAGTCACAGTTTTACTGGAGAAAATACTAATATTCAAGATGCTCAAGACCCAGATAAGGATGTCGATACCATGTGGAATGAAGCAATGGGTGTGATGGACAATATTAATACACCAGATATTAAAGGAAAATGCATTGTTTAAAATTGATGTTGAGTTGAGTCTCGGGGAGCCGCTCAAATGTCACTATCAGACTTTTATAAAGTCACTTTTAAAAAAAGCTTTCCAAAAGATATTCCTTACTTTTCCAAAGCAGCTTTTTCAAAAGCCACTTTATACAAAGCAGATGTCACGTCAAAATCTCGACACTTCTGAAGAATCTCCAGAGCCTTATAAATATATGCAGTTCATCAGAGTCTGAAGTAGGTTTTAAAAGAGAGAAAAACAAAGGAGTTTGTAAGCTAAGAGTGTATTCTTAATATATATATATATATATATATATATATAAATAGTATATAATATATATAATATAAATAGGACAGAGAGAGAGAGAGAGAAGAGAGAGAGAAATATGGAGAAAACTTGGTACAAAGTTCTTGCATTGACTTGGTAGTGAGGTGACAATCACCCCCTACATCACCCTTGAAATGAAAACCTCTTTATAAAAATAGGTAATAGGATTGAGGCTCTCTTCTTCAGATGTGATGTAGGGTGGGATTTGGCCACCTCACTACAAGTTCAATGGAGAAACTTGTACCAGTTTCCCATATTTCTGCATGAATATATATACTTCATCTATATATAATATATATAATATATAGAGAGAGAGGAGAGAAAACTTATGTCAACGTTAAGTGGATCAGTCCACAAAGTTTCTATCCATTGATGATACCTAGAGATCCGTTCTCATAAGTGCATCATAATGAAGAGACTTTTTTCAATAGATAAAAACTCTTGGTGGTTACATTAAACGTTGGACGCTTCTAGGTGTCGGACTTGACGCCCAGCGCTTAGTCGCCTAGGCGGGCGTCTAAGCGGTTTCTAGACGATTTTTTTCTTTTTTATTTTTTTAATTGTGATACTTGAAGATAAATATATATATACTCAATCAAAGTTACATAAATATTAAAATACCAACACTATTAACTAAATTGCTTGGTTTACCAATTACAATAGCTCTTTGTATGTTTATACTTCTCAACTCAAATTATAAGTTCATCTCAACAGTGAAAAACTCATTTTCAACTCAAATTACTGTTAACTTATAAGTTACTGTTAAGTTTAAGTTAACAATAAATTTAAACTTAAATTTACTGTTAACTAAAATATTATTAACTTAAGTTTACTGTTTACTTAAACTTAAGTTTACCATCAATAAAAAAACTTAATATTAACTTAAACTTAAACTTATGTTTATTGTTAGCTTAAACTTAAACTTAAGTTTACTGTTAACTTACCATTCTTAAGTTTAAGTTACTGTTATTAACTAACTTAAATAGATATTTAAGAAGTACTCTTTACCTTGTTAGTAGTTACAAAGATCGGGGGAGCTTGGAAATGTTACAGAAGGCGCTAGGCAGACTAGACGTTGGAGCAAGCGCCTAGACCCTTGGACGTACGCCTAGGCAGCGCCTAGGCTTTTGACTATTTTTAAATTATTTAATTATAATAATTGATAAAAATATGTATTAAATTCATATAAATTTTTTAGGCAATTGAAACAGTTTTTCCAGAAATTCGGTACAGGTTTTGTATTTGGCATATCTTGGACAAAGTTCTGGAGAAGTTTGGTAAATGGGCTTATAATATGGAATTTATGAAATCTTTCAAAGATAATATTTGGGACTCCGAGACTGCTATTGACTATTTTTAAATTATTTAATTATAATAATTGATAAAAATATGTATTAAATTCATATAAATTTTTTTAAAAAAATAGCAATCTTAGTTTCACAATAAATCATGCATACTTAGATACTAAATAGCCAAAATAATAATTAATAAGGCTAGAGTCTAAGATGTTTTCTTTTTTTATTTTTAATTACAATAATTGATGGTGAATGTCAACTTTATAGAAAGCTTAGATGCCGGAATGATGTCTAGGCAGATTTTTTTTTTCATTTAAGTGATGATCGATAAGGTTTTGCTGAAGGTCGGAGGAGGTAGTAGAGGTGTTCATATTTGGAGGTTAATGGAGTTTGGAGGACGGAAGATCATTGCACAGTGGAAAAAAAGCCAAAATTGAAGACTTTGTGGTCAATGGAAAAACAAATGGCCTAAATCTACACAAAAAAAAATCTTTTATATTTTTCAGGATGAGCTTCAACCTAGCTTAATGTATAATATTGAGCTAGTAAAAGAAAATGAAAGAGAAAGTACTTTCCATTTGAATTTTTGTGGTCATGATGAAAGATTGAGACATATTATATATTGCAAAACAACTAAAATGGTCCGTTGTTCGTGTCTCATGTTTGAATTCAAGGGCATTCCATACCGACATATCTTGGCATATCTTAAAATTACCAATCATAGTGAGTTACCGGAGCAATATATTCTAAGAAGATGGTGCCGAAATGTCAAAAAAAGGATTGTTCTTAGAGATGGTAATATCATTGGAGATAATGC